CTTGGGGAAGTGCCAGCCTCAGCAGTAAGAAAGCCAGAGGCCAGAGCAGAAGGAGCAGAGGGGAAAGTGATGGGAGGGAGGTCAGAGGGGAGGCCAAGGCTCTCAGGAGTGTCCCTGAGGAAGAAAGGCTTTACTGAGGGAGATGACATAATGCAACTTGCGTTTTACAAGATGACTCTGCCCGAAGTGGGGGTGCAGGATTGGGGAAGGCCTAGGAGAATCTCGTAGTCCAGATCCAAGGCGGTGGTGGTGAGGTGGGGGCTATGGTGATGGGGGAACCCAGCCTGGATGGGGACATTCTTGTTCATCTTGTCACCACGTGCCTCATCTGGGAAATGACAGGGTGGAGTAGGGGACTTCTATGACCATGATTCTGTGCAAAGGAGCCCTTTCCAGGACTTGACAGGATATTGAAGACCATGCTTCATGTCTTGATTAATTCAGGGGCTTTACAAGGGCTGCTCATCCTCCTTGCACCTAAGGTCTCCACCCCCAGCCCAGGCACACTCTGTCTTGGGCTTCCCAAGAGGGGATACGCCTGGGCCTGCAATTAGCGGAAGTGCTGCCTGGAGAAATGCAATTATATTCTGATCTTGGGGTAGAAAAAAAAATATTGAGCAAGTCAATAGAACAGAACATTGGTCTCGAGATAATGGGCTCCTGATGGTAGATTAATGTCAAGGCCAAGCCAAGAAGTTTATTTTCAAAGCGGGAGACATTGATCGGGCGCCAGCATCCCATAACAATAACTCTTCCTTTATACAAAGTGATTGATGTGGAAGCGATGCTGGTGTCTGGCGGGTACTGCCCAGGTCGTTGCTGGGCAGGCCTCTGCCTTCCGGGCGATGGAGCAGCCTGAGCAGGTGGGCCACACGGTACCCGGCTCTATTTTTGCGTCTCCTGGGCAGCTGACCAGGCCAGCATCCAGCTCTCTCAACTCCACATTAAACTCGCATTAGCTAACGAGGCTGCATGTCCGGCTCTGCCTGGCAAGGGTCCCTTGGTTTACGCAGTTGGATGAGCAATTCCAACTCCTCTTTGCCGTGACCTCTGGTTTCTTTGGCCCTGCCCGTGCTGGCCACCAGCCTGCAGGTTTCTCAGAGGCCAGGCTGACCTTGCTCTGTTGGGAAGTTTGAAGCATCCGCAGGTCCTTGGATTCGCAGGCTGTCTGGAGCCTAGAGGGAGTCTGCCTGGCTCTGGACATGGGGTCTACTGTGTGGCTTTGCTGCCAGATGCGCTGTGCAGTGGGGGGCGACTCGGAATGTGAACTTTTTTTTTTTTAAAGGATGATTTATTATCTTTTTTTTTTTTTTTCTTCAATTTTTACTAGCCAGAGACAGACAGAGAGGGAGAGAGAACAAGCTGCCAGGTCTGGGACTCGAACCACAGTCGACCATGTGGGAGTCCAGTGCCTTTAACCACCACGACACTGGCTGGCCTCAGAATGTGAACTTTGAAACTTCAGAGAGACAGATGCCTGTTCAGCTAAGGCTGCTGCCACCCCAGAGTGCCTCGGGAACACTCAGCGCAGGACACACCCAACACTTCCGACCGCCCGGCTGTGTCTTCCCCGGGCACTCCGCAGGCCTGGGTGTCCCTGGCTGGCTGGCCTGGCCAGGGCCCAAGCTCCTGCTCTCCCTCCATTTTCTCTCCCTCATCTCATCCTCTCACCCCACACCTCCTGCTCTCTACACCCCTCCCTGACAGCCAGACACTTCCATGGGCTCCTCCCTCTGCCTGGGGCACCCTCTGCCCACCCTGTGCCTGCTGCCTCCTGCTCATCCCTCAGGCCTCTGTTACTGCCACCCCTTACGGGCTCCTCTGTCCCACAGCACTGGGCCTCGCCCTTTCATACCTGCTCTGAGCACCTTGGCTGGGCATGGAAGCGCAATATTAACTTACCCATGTGGCTATGGCTCAGGGCTAACTTCACCTGCTGTTTTTACCTGTCCAGCCTGCCTTCTCTCTTTTGGGGACTGTTCCAACCACTCCACCAGGGCCCTGTGACCCAGGCTGGCCAGTGGCGACATCCCTGCCTTCTGGGCTCTGAGTAACGGGGTATTTCAGGTGGTTGCTGTGTGTGCCGCGAGGGACGGCCACATGCTTCTTTCTGGATGGAGAGCAAAGGGGACCACAGCTGCAGCCACCAGTGGCCCTGTCTGCCACCACAGGGCGGGGGAGGACCTGCCTGAGAATGCGGCCAGCACAGAGGAGGGAGGAGCCGAGAGAGGGCGAGGGACCCCCGCTAGAGCCCCTGGATCCACGTGTGCTGGGCACAGCCCACCCGCCCCCACACCACCACCACCCTTTCTTGGTCAGTTTTTTTTTCCCCTGTCCCTTCAGGTGAAGGAGTCCTTTCCAACCCCTCTGTGTCCCCTCTAGACTCAGGGGTCCCACCTGCTGCATTTGCCAGTGGGCCTTGAGCCCCAGGCACTGGGCTGTGCCCAGGCCGGGCCCTCATCCATACTGGCAGAACTCACGAAGCAGGAAGTCAGGACGGATGTGAGCCTCGGGAAGAGGGACTCGCCCAGGGAGATGAATCGCATTTTGTCATCAGTTCTTTGGTCCCCAGAGAAAGTGCACTGGGGCTTTTTTGCTTCTAGCAATCTTGGCAAGAATCTAAGTCAGGCGGGAGCGGGAGCGGGAGGTTTTATTATCTCTTAGGCAGAAGGTCTCATCTCTATCACTTTCAGGCTGAGCCCTGGCTGGAAGTGGACAGGCAAAGGAGGACAGAGAACGTGTCACCATCATGGTGTCCTCCCTCTTGACAAGCAGCTCTGACCTTTGCCTCTGGACAGACAGAATCCCAAGACTGGAAGGGCTCTCCTTCCGGGGACACTGTCATGCGTAAATTCGAGGCATGGATACAATGGTGTCAGGGCTCACCCTGGGGCAGGTGCCAGCTGGAGCTGGCCAGGGGTCCCAGGTGTTGTGACCCGCCCGGGCCACTCACCCTCGCTCCTCTGAGCCCCTGTCCTGTCCCAGCAGAGGCAGCACATTCCCGAGCCAGTGGGCCCCACAAGGAGGCTGGGAGCACGCCCTGCAGCCTGACTCCCTGCACTGGGCCCTAACGCCATCACACTGATGGCATCAGTGTGACCTTGCGTGAGTCATCTGGGAGCCTCAGTTTCCCCTTCTG